TTCCATTCCATAATGCATGAATACAACTATGATGTCAACTTTAGCCTTTGAAAAAAATAGAGTAGCGATGTTGAAATTGTAGGTTTTTATAATCCATCAAATAGTTTTGCTCGCACGTGACTGATCTAAACGCATCACATGATCGAATATACCCCGGATAAAACCAGGAAATATCTGAGGATATACCCTAAGTAACATTCCCCAATTCTGAAACCTTACGTCTACTATGATGAAAGCATTCGTTTCAAATTTAAATCAAAATGAATGAGCGTTTAGCTCTTTTCCCAGAAAAGCGACATATTTTAATGTTCGAAAAGTCGTACTGTACTACACTGAAAAGTTCCCACACGTTGCAGAAACATTTGAAACATAATAAACAGAATAGCTTATATTTGGAGCGAAAATGTGTTCTTAAACATTTTTCTTTGGACATTATCTGTTCATCGAGACTTACTCGGAATAGATAGCAGGCGCGGACAAATACCCGAGTGCATTTTCGAGCTAAAAGGAAGCTATTGTTTATATAATTTTAGCCTCCCGCTTACCAGAAAGGTCCTCGCGAATAGCTACTTGAGATGTATTTTTCGAGGCTAATGCACCGCCAAAATTAACCCGCACACAAACTTACTTGAGTCATTATGGAAAAAATGGAAATCAAATCATTTTGACTTCGTCGATTAATAAATCACCATTTATGGTAGAGTTCTAAGTTCTAGATAACCACAAATTGGACTGGTGAGAACGTCTTAAAAGCTGGAATTATTTATGTTAAGTTTATCTTTAGCACTGTGGTTAAAACCTTTAACTTGTTAACGTCCCTTGTGGCAACGTCATCTCGATAAATGGCAGGACCAGAAGTAAACAACATTCTCATTTGAGAGCAATTCTTAAAAGGCGATGGCATGTCGCAGTAACCGAGAAATCCAAAAGTGATTCCTTTCCTTTTTATAATGAGTGGTTCCTAAAGAAATGGAAAATTGAAACCAATCAACAAGTTACGTGAAAAGTTGCCAATACGAGTTTCTAGGGGTAGATAGTGGATACGATAATCTTAAATTGTATGATTCGAGTTTTCAGACTGACAAGAAGAATATGGTGTAACAGACAGAAATTTAAAGCCAGTTATTTCCTATGTACCTGAGAGGAAAGATAGTCGCCAAAACTTATCCCAAAGTATGGTATTCCTGTCTCTTTAAGTACTTCCGCAGTAAAATTGGCTCCTTCGGCTCCAAAATCGTTTAAATGATTATTGGCGAGTGTTACAGCATTAAATCCTGCAAAACTATAGGACGAACAAATTGTCAAGACTACGTGCACTTAAGAACAGTTGTAAACTGACTCAACTACAACTTTAGCCAAAACGGTATTATTTTTTTTTTTTTAATGTGTGAACTTTTATTAGGGGTAGGTGTTATTGAGCAAAATTTTAAAAAATAAACAAGCTGTCACAGTCGTGAAATTCGTCCCTCTGAACAGATTATAGCAGAATAATGGTGGAGTTATACGACACGGACGACGTTACTATCGAGTCTTTTATAACTCCCCAAATAGCTGGTAAAAAGAAAATAACCACAAAAATGTTTCATTTTTCCAGTGAGTAATTTTGTGTCATTTTGGGTTAACCGTAATCGTAAAAGCTATCACCCCATTGAGACCCTCCATTACGCGTCGATATATGCGTGAGGTCAAGATGGCTGGAAATTGACTGAGTTCTTTTTCTGCGTTATTATGAACCGAGAGGAAGTCGAGGTCTATAAAACACAACAAAAGAAAGATGAGCAAATCTTTCCCGCTCAGATAGCCAATTAGAACGCAGGATTTGCTTCATATTTTTCTTGGGCACTGTCAGCGATATTGTAACAAAGCTATAATAACCACAACTGTCGGTCATTACAAAGGTTGATAGAGCAAGGAGCCAATAAAAACGGTATTAATAACAAGAAGCGCGGTAAAACGTTAATATACAACTCGCGACTGATATAGCAAGTAGAGAAGGTTTCCCACACCAACAATTAATACGATAAAGTGAAATGAAGCCAATTTAATATCAGATTATTTTCAACAATTCTAATTAGCTTGTGTCCCGATGAAATTTATCTGATCCACCATGAGGCTCTATAATATTCTTATGAATAGCCACCTTTTCCTATACTTTGTTGGCGACGACTGATTTGTTCCCCGTTTCCCCTGAAAACAATGACAAGAGAGAGTAATTTGATCCTCTCTTGATGTAAATACTGGTCTCTTACTTAAAAATATTTCTATAAGCGTCGTCCGGCGAGGGATTTATGGTAAATTCATCTCGTATACCTCAGCGATGATGCAGCATCCTTGTTAGCACTGAGTAGAACTGTCTTTTCACCTCTGAACATGTGGGTATAAACATCTCCGTTGACGAATGGAGATTCCAAATTACACACAGATATATCAGCATCTCTGATATATGGAGCCACTTCATTGAAAGAGTCATTGTATGTGTAATGCTTACGCTCCACGTAATATTTGACCGGGCCAGCGAAATAAATATCTCCCACGAAAATCAAGGATACATGCTCTGCAAGTAAGAAAGGACGAAAAAATGCTTAGCCTTATTAAGGCCGCTTATCGATACGAATAAGACAAGAGTGAAACCTTAAAAGGCTTCAAGGGAAATTTGAATTTGTACGCGTTAAGAACAAGGCTTTGTACTATGTCTAGGGTATAGTTACAGAAATTATTTGACTGATATCCGGTGAAGATCGATTTTGGTCGAGATGAGCGCTTGGTCTGTTTTAGAAAGGGTGCGATTCATCAGAGTTATCGATTCTATGTCAATCCATGGTTTGGTGACTCATCGGCGAGCACACAGTTTTCTGAAAGACTTCCATTGTGCGTTAAATAAATTTAGTGATAACTGAATTATTTGGAATTACCATTAATGTTTAGTTCGAATACTAAATTGTTGGTCAGGAGCACGTTTTTAGAGTTTGGTTACTAAAATTATGTCCGTGTGTCTTACCTTTATTCCCGATAACTACACTTGGTAAGGAGATTGCCAAAAAGATGACTACAATATTCATGACACGATTATTTTAAAATCAGGCCGG